GTGATCATTGTCATAGCGTTTAGTTCCCACAGTATGGGTGTATACGGATACTTGTACATAGTTGCTTGAATTGGGTGTCTAGGGGTGAGTGCAGGCGTACTGCTTGTTCTGTAAGTGTCGTTCGTCGTTCGTGGTATTTGGCATAGCGTTTAGTCCCCACAGTATGGGTGTATACGGATACTTGCACAGAGTTGCTTGAATTGGGTGTGTAGGATGGAGTGCAGGCGTACTGCTTGTTCTGTGAGTGTCGTTCGTGATATTGTCATAGCGTTTAGTCCCCACAGTATGGGTGTATACGGATACTTGCACAGAGTTGCTTGAATTGGGTGTGTAGGGTGGAGTGCAGACGTACTGCTTGTTCTGTGAGTGTCGTTCGTGATAATTGTCATAGCGTTTTAGTCCCCACAGTATGGGTGTATACGGATACTTGCACAGAGTTGCTTGAATTGGGTGTGTAGGATGGAGTGCAGGCGTACTGCTTGTTCTGTGAGTGTCGTTCGTGATAATTGTCATAACGTTTAGTCCCCACAGTATGGGTGACATACCTTGTACGACGTTGTCTTGCGCGTGTACTCCTTCGGCTTCTTGGACCCAGGTACCTATGAAAGCATGGGACATGGGGGTTTAGGGTGTCGGGGTTTAAAACATACAGCGACGCTGAAGCACATCAGAGATGTACGCACATGCACACACACAGTTGTGAAGACTGTGTTTGCTAGCGATGCACACTAGTATGATAAACGCCCACAGCAGCCGAAGTTATAGATGTCAATGGGTAGACTTATATGTATATATATATATATATATATTATATGTGTGTGTGTATATTTGTATATATTATATATNTATATATATATATATATATATATATATATATATATACATATATATATATATATATATGGAGGTGTGTCTACTATCTCTGGTACACAAGACATAATTTGACACATGCTCACCTCAAGCACTCGCAGTCCCTTCAACAACTCAATAGTCTGCGGCAGGGCAGCAAGAATCTTTCGTGCCGTATGTTCCTCCAAAGCCACACTCAGACCGTCACTCCCGTCGCGCGCCTTCTCCCCACACCCACTTGTTTCGTATGGCTTATTCCCACACATGCTTATTTGGCACGTGTTAATCCCACACATGCTTATTTGGCACGTGTTATTCCCACACATGCTTATTTGGCACGTGTTATTCCCACACAAGCGTGTTTCTTCCGGGCTCTTTATCCGCATACTACTAATCTTAGGCATACTACATTCCCTTGTGATGTGTCCGTCATCAGTCACTCTGCGGGGGCTCCCGTGTGGCCCTTCCCCGTTGATCCGTGTCGAAGGCGCTGTCAAAGCGTTTAACGAATTCTTTGCCGCCTCTATACTCTTATCTGTCCTGCTTATTTTCTCATCGCCTATTTTCTCACTACTTGTGTTCACATCATCTCTTAACTCGGTGCCTAACAACCCACCACCCCTTATTTCCTCATCGCTTATTTCCTCATCATTCAGACCTCTATCACTCAGCACGTGACCACGGTTGCTTGCTTCTGTATGTCCTTTCTGATCCACACGCGCGTGTAGTATATTCATCAGCAACTGCAGTGTGAGCATGCGACTATGCCACACCACGTCTTCTTTCCTTCGCGTCACATTCAGGTCGCCTATTGTGCATTATGAATATATACAACCATATATCAAGAAATTATTCGTAACATCTCATGTGTTGCGTGCCGGTCTTGTGTATTGTAAAAATACAATCATGCAATATATATATATATATATATATATATATATATATATATATATATATATATATATATATA